ATTGTACCAAACAAAATTAAAGCTTCTCAGATAGCTCATAACAATGATCCAAAATGTGACGTCAACTGAAATAAATGTTTGAGGTCAACTATGAGCAAATAGCATCACAGCAGTATTTTTTATTAAATGAATACAGTCAAAACTGATGTTTGTGAGCATAATAGCTGCATCAAGGCCAATTAAAAGCTGAAAACAGGGAGGAAAAAAAAAGTCAATATGTCCCTAAGAGAGGGCTCAGTAAGGACATCCGCTCTGGAGCTCGGGGGGCCGCTGTAAACATTCTCACAGGACTGAGACGCTCATCAAGATGGAACGATAAACACTAAAGTGGGCCATTCCTGACGATTATGTAACAGATGTCCATTTTCTGAACTAAAACACAGACCAGCCACCTATGTTCAGCTGCCAAGGTTAACTCTCTGTGATTTTTTTCCATCTGTAAGTACAACAGTTACGGCTACTAATAAACAGACACGCACCCTGGCATTCAACATGTATAATGTAACACTTAACAAAGAGGGAGAAAGACATGGACAGAGAGGCAAAAGTATACTAAACAAGCAGATACAGAACGAGCATAATAATAAACCGAAATCTGAAAAATGTTTGGAATCTGAAAATAATGTAAAGAAATATTTGGAAGCTGAAAGCCAAAATGTTTCACTTGAACTTTGCTTATCATCATTCACTGAAGTTCTTCTCTCTCCTCCCAAAAATGATTGACTTCTTTTCTGCAAGTCCTATTGTGCTAGGCCTGTTTTCAGAACACTGCTTCCTTTCCCATACTAAAAGGCCATGAAAGGCTTACCCCCTGCCAGACGCATAGTTTTACTGGGCTGGTATGTAGCTCCTGAATAGACAGGATGTTTGCCATAGGTGACATTTCCTTGCCAGCAATTCCACAAGGACTTAAAAGATATCTGACCTGATTAAAAAGGGAGATGACTGGTTTCAAGACTTAAGAACATAAAGATGATGAAGAGATAAAATATGTCGGGATAAAAGTTTTACAGTTAAAGTCAAATGGCCGTTATCAAAAAAACGAGTTTGATGTAGTGTTGTTAAAATTCACTCCTCAGTCCATACAGGCTATATGTACAAACTAACCTGTTTTGCATTCATTACTTCTGTGATGCTATGAAAGCCCAAACATTTAAATATACCCATTAAGCCTACAGCAGTTTAACCCCACCCATTCATGCTGAGGTTATAATGAGTGTCATCTTCCACTGCTTCGGTGCTTTCTGAATAGACACAATATAAAGGCAGCCAATTAGAACAGATGACATATACATATAGTGTATTAAAGGAACAAAAACAGATGTTTTAGTAATAAAGAGAGGTTGGAAAATGAATTATGATTATTATTATTTTTTTTAATATCCCCCTCCCTCCTTTTACACATCGGAAAGGGCAGCAGGCATTTAAAAAATCTGTAATTATTTTTTTAATGACAAAATTGGAGAAATGAAGTCGTGTCCTGACAGCGACAATTTTAACCATGTGTTTATATGCGTTATATAGGCTGGCATTCAAAAGTTTGAAATTACAGTTCAAACGTTTGGGGTCGCTATTTTTAATTTAACAAAAACAAATGTTGCAGATAAAATTATGGCATGATATTATTATAATGCAACTATTCAAGTAAATAGTAGGAAGCTATGGAAAAACAAGAAATTAAGTTATAATTAACACCTTGAATGCCTCATATTTGAAACATGGCAATCAAAATCTCAGGCAGATAACATCAAGGAATTCCAATACATAAATATTTACAGTATATTATTTAATTTTTTTTTCCCCAAAGAAATTGAAATACTGAATAAACATGCTTTCTGGTGCCAAGCCTACACTATATAAGCTAAATTTGAATAAAATAACATCAATTATTAATATGGCAGGCGATTCCAAACTTTTGACTTGTATCTTTACACTCTGAAGAGTGACTAGGCTTCGGATTGTCTTACAGTTAAACTTGATAATTCTAATATAAATTCTCATTGTAGGATAGTGCCTGTCTAATGCACACAAGGTAGATAATCTAATAAATCACACAGTGTGGATGGCAGTACTGCACTGTCATTAGCTCTTTTCACGTAGCACTCTTAGCATGTCAACATTATCTTCATGCCACCATTTACAGATGCATGCTGTGATAAGGCAACTAAACTGCAAAATAGTACAGTTCTGGCAGCATTTGGCAGGCAAGGAAATGCACATCAAGATTACATCTCATGTTAACCAGCAAAAAGCATCAAAAGAAAGAAAACATGAAAAATTACAGACTCACGTAGACTTATTCTTACATAAGAACAGGATTATGTGGAAAGTTTTATGTGTGCTGAACATTCCAGTGGTGAAAAAGTGTCTATTCATGCCAAAGTCCTATCGCACAGATTTTCTGCCTGAAAACTTGGCTGCTTTTGAGAAATGCAGACTTCATATCTGTGAAAATTCACTCATTATTCAAGTCGGTACTGAGAAGTATCTTGTGCATCCTATGTTGATCTGTTCAAAGTTTCTGTTGCTTAAGGGCAGCATATAATCACACTTCACCAGCCCTATTCACCATGAAGCCTCTTCATTTCCACAAACACGCCGGCACACCCACTAAATTGTAATCCATGTATCTACCTCCGAGCATTAGCTTTTTAAGATAAATTATGATAGCAACCTTTCAAAGCTTTCAGACAAGTTAATAGCACACTACTAAAAAAAGGAATGGGCACCTAGGTTGGAGAAACGTACGTTAAGAAATTTAGAGAAATTGAGATTCAAATAATTGAAAAATAAAGATGCAAAATAACTGATAAATTAGTAACTAGTAAACTTTCAAAATAAGCCGACAGAGAAAACCCTCAAATTTATGAAAACTTTGTCATCTTAGAGTATGGGGAAGTGCATCAGGCTGAAAATGAAAGCAGACCACATACTCCAACATACACTGTTGTCTACATTTATTCTACCAGAAAGACTTGTTAAGAATTAGGGAGGCATCACAATTTCAGCCACCATCACCTAAAAAGGTCAAAAATGCTATTTTTCGTTTCTAGCCAAAAGAGAAAATTGGCTGAAAATTTTTAAAAATAACAAAGGATTAAACTGTCTGCAAAAAATGTACCTATCGTTTGAAAGGTAATGAAAATGAGAAATAGTGATTAAAAATCCTGTTTGTTTCCGTCACTTTCTTGTGCCCATCAGCACAGATGTGGTCAAACAGCTTGAGCAGCAGCAGATAAACAGTGATACGTATGTCATGTGGAGCTTTTCTTAGTTTTTATGAGACAGACAAGCCATTTATAATCAGCGTTTGTGTTAAGTATCAAGAGAAGGCACAACACCCAAACACTTCAAAAAATCCATTACAGGTTTGATACTGCTTTATAGACATCCTGCTCACTACACAGAACACAGCACAAAAACAGAAACCAAAGGGAAAGTTCTCAAAACCCCCAGTTTTTAAAATGACAAACAAATCCACAAACGACAGTAGAAAGAAGTGCAAAGATTAACTAAAAATGATGGAATTCGTGATTCATGGCCTGACAATTCAGAGCAATTCTTGGATGCTCAGCCATTCTGTTACCAAGAACATTGAATTTCATGGCACATACTATATCCTACACTCTTAAAAAAGATGGTTCACTCAAAGAACTCTTTGCAGGATCAAAGGGCTCTTTGCATCGTGAAAAGGTTCTTCAGATTGATAGAGATTCTTCTGGAAATGGTTCTATATAAAATCTTTTTGAAAAAGGTTTGACACAGCACCAAAAAGGGTTCTCCTATTGTTATTGTCAACTGGTAACAATAGAAGAACCCTTTTTGGTGCTATACAGAACCCTTTTCCAAAAGGTTCTACACGGAACATATAAAGTTCCTTCTCCATCAATCTGAAGAATTCTTTCATAATGCAATGAACCCTTTAATACTGTAATAATCTTAGTAAGTTTATTATGTAAATTATTTTTATTATCCCTTTTTTTTGGTTTTCGGTTTCAGTTTTCAGCCAAGTAAGTTTCAGTTTCAGCCAAGAATATTCATTACAGTGTATCGCTATTATTAAACGCTAATTGCTAACCACCATAAATTCACACGTAAATGTGTTCAGCAACTGTCTACAGAACAACCTGGAAGGGCAAAAGGCTAATCATTCCAGACAGCTCAAGTTGTTAGTATTAGAGCTGACTGGAATGTAAACATTCATACTACAGAGGTCCTGAGACAACACCCTGCTTTTCCTGTATAATACGATATGGGGATTTAGATGTGTATGATGCACAACAGCATACTTACTAGGCACTCTGAAGAGCAGCATTCTGAAAAATCCTAAATTATAAAATACTTTTATTTTCTTTTAGTTTTCCTTAACACAACACAATGGGTTAAGCATTATGCAATCCTCTGCTATAAATACGTCATTGCTGAATGAAGTGGTGTTTGGTTTCAGCACAAAGGGATACGAAACACAGCACATGAGCGGTCAGCTATTATTTGAAAACTGTGGTGCCAACGGCTGAGGGCCACCTTTAGTTGGCAACAATTTATTATGGGAGCCCAATTTTAAATGCCTAGCTTGACCACCAGACTTTGACACGTTATTTAGGGCAAGGCTTAGACGTATCAGGAAGGACCTAAATAAATAAATGAATAAATGAATAAATAAACTCAAGTGTTGCACAGCAAATCTTGCAAAGTGGTAAGCGGCTATTACTCTGACTGTTGAGTTGTTTACATTGAAAAATGCACCAATTTGATCCAGGTGTCAAACAAGTGTCCCAGAACACTGCCAACCATTGAATTTTAAGGCATTATCACAGAGATGAGGAATAAATCTGATCCCGAAGGGCCAGAGCCCAGCATAAGTTAAGTTCCTCAAACAAACTGAACTGCCAGGTTATTATATAGGTATGTATATAGGTATCAACAAACTGTAGACTGGAGTTAAGAAAACATGAAAAATATACATAAAACCATTAATTGTACTAGTCTTACACACATACCTGTAGTACCGTGACTGGAGGTACGTGGAGCAAACTGCTTTGGAGACATGGCTGGCTGAGCCAAAGTCTATGACCTTCACCCGGTACGGCTGTCGCACAGGGTCCACAAGCATGATGTTTTCAGGCTTCAGATCAGCATGAATCAGACCCATCGCTTTCAACTTCTTCAGTGCTGTAGCAACCTGCTGAAGAATGGGCCGTATCACCTTCAGGGGCAGCGGGCTGAATTTGTTTTGCTTGAGGAAGTCATAAAGGTTCTGCTCAAGCATCTCAAACACAAGGCAGGTATGGTTACGGTGCTGGAAGCACTCGAAAGCCCGCACCAGGTTATGCTCGTCCGCATTCTCTCCGCTGAGACGGGCTAAGATGCCCACTTCGATCTGGCCCTGCCGTGCATACGATGGGTGATTTTTCAGGATCTTTACGGCCACCACCTCACTGGTGCCTCGTTTCCAGCATTTGACCACTTGGCCAAAGGTACCGCGGCCAAGGAAGTCCAGCACCTCGTAGGTATTCTTCATTGAACAGAGAACCTCGTGCTGCACCAGCTGGTAGTCACCGTCCCCACTGCCGTTCCACCACCCTGTTTTACAGGCCCTCCTCCTACCGCTGCTGGGACCGCCACCGGCGGGTTCCCCACATTTGCTTGCAACATTGCGGGTAACATGGACAGGTCCTCTACTATCTGCATGGCGCTTCCCACGTTCTCCAGCTCCTCGCTCTTACGTTTCAGCCCGCATCGCTGGGAACTGTCCGCCAAGTTAAAATTACAGGTGTCTTCTCCCTTCCCCTCGTCAGCCCCTCCACCACCCTCTCCTCCTCCTCCCCCTCTACTTCCACTGTCCTCACCCCTGACCCCTCCAGCTGCCCCTGAAGCTCCACTGCTGCTCTTCCTGCCTTTTTCCGGATCTTCCGGCTCTTTTCCTTGTAACAGAACACCTCTTTCTTTACGAGGTGCTGCTGCACTGGTCGTTTGTCGCTGTACACCTCGTACGGCGACAGTCTGCACTGGAAAGTCCTGCCAGCGGTGTCGGCCAGCTGCAAAGTCTCGTGTCTTGTACGTCGGCTGTGCAATGCCAAGGGTTCTACCATTCAAAAAAGTCAGTGGGAAGGCCCTGTCATGGTAAACACAGTTGTTGGGTTCGACTTTGAGTTTCTTCACACTGCAAAAGGCACTTGTCTGAGTTTGATAAACATGTGGTGGGTAGACCAAAACTTGTGAGGCCATACCTGTAAAGAAGAAAAACAAAACAATTAGCATTTATGCAAGTTTTGTGGTAACCAAGAACAATCAAAGGAAACCTTGTCTGTCAACTTAGAGGGACAAAACTACACCATAACTGACCAATAGAATCATGTGCTCCAGTTATGGGTGCCCAACCTCTTCTTTAACTTTAACAACCAATGTTTGAGCATTACAGGGTAAAAATGACTTTTGGTTGAAAATCAGCAGTACATGCTGTATTTCCTTGGATTAGACACCTGGCAAACCAACCCTCCCATCTCCCACAGATCTCTATCACACAGGGATGGAGCAAAAACTCCACTCGCAAATCCTCTACAGTCAAAATATTTGGATTTTGGATGTCCACTTTAACTGAAGCGTGGGACTGGGACTCATAGGCCTAGTACACTAACCTTTTACACATCTTCCAGCAACTGATCCAGCTTCTTCTATTTTTTATAACTAGCACATAGAGAAAAGTCATGAATCACAACCCTACTGGATTATCACTACAGAAATAATACAAAGAGAAAGGAGCAAGATAGCGGTGTGTATAATTCACCTCATGTCTGTTCACTTCAGGAAAGCCTGCCAATTTCCACTGCAATTGGCTGATATGCAAAGTTATGGTTCTGGCTTGTCTCATTTATATGAAATGTTGACATACTTTCAGATGACATGAAGGTCCAAGCTTAAACTCTCTTAAAACCCAAAACCTTTATACTGTTTTAACTGCATAAAGAGTAGAGATATTTAAGAAATTGTCCTGGTAACAGGCCCAATAGGAGGAGGCGGCAAAAGACAAAGTTTACCTTATTCAAAACAAACTAACAAAGTAGGTGCAAATGCTCTAAGAAAAACATTTCAGCTTCAGATGCTCAGCCCACACGTATCCCACAACTAATCTGTCTTCTGATCAAACTGCTTTACCCGTAAAAGTAGGCTCTTCTTGGTCACATTAAGTGACAAAATGCACTGAAAGGCCAGAGACCATGTACACTGTATACTGTAAATGTACATGCCTCACCATTTTAAAATAAATTAACAAATTTTGTTCACGTTAACACTACAAACTGAACTCTAAAGTAGAGCAGTAGTTCAGATGACATTCAGGATCAAAAGTTGTACTAAGCTAGTAAAGCCATATTTGCCCTGTCACTATACTTATGTTACATTCCCTTTTTGAAAACTTAAACTCTTGAGTAAAATATCAGTTGTGTGAAAATAAGTAAACTGTTGTATACTATCAATATTTACAGTGTTCTGTGATGTACTCAAGATGCTATAATATCTAATCTCAAAAAAGGAGGTTCACTGAGATTCAGAGCAGGCGTAGGCTTTCATTCTTTTGCTGAAACTTTCGCAAAGCCTGGCTTTCGTCAACTATTCCCCGGAGAAAGCATGTGGTCTGATAACTAGTCTCTCCGTTATCCCTAACCTACTTGGAAAGGAGAGATTATGTTACTTAAAACTGCAGACATGTCAATCCTCTTGAGTCTGAGACTGACCAACACAACATTACTCAGCCAAGATGGGGGTTAAAAATAGGACTTTGGTATCAAATCATCAAATTATTCCTCCACTGTTTGATCAGATCTGACTTCTGATGCTCCACCTCACCTTATACGGTTAATGACAGGTGTCTTAAAAGAAAAAGACACCTAAAAAGAAATTTTGGCTTAGTAGTCAGTACAGAATATGCAACATAAATGACAGCAGTAAGTTCGTGCAATTATTGCAGTATTATTTTGTTGAATAATTAAACACATGACGGCTGTATTTAAGCATTTCATATCATGCTCTGTTCAAAACCCACTTAAAACATACCGTCTATGCTGAATACTTTATTAAATGTTATGATGTAGTGTTTATACGTAACATCGTGTTTAGCTTTAGCAATCTATAACCGACACATTCTTCTTGAAATACCATACTATGAACAGCACTCCTAAAATAGCCACGCTATCCAGAACCGAATGCTCAGAGATAAAGCTTCAAGTTTTAGCCCTTTCATTTAGCTAAGCTTACTAAAGGGGCAGCTGCAGAGTCTGCTATTATTACTGCATGACATGTAACCTGATATTGCCCATCTGAGAGCATTACTCCTTCAGCGAGGTCAAACTGACTACCCAAAGTTCTTTTACCTGGCACTGTTAAAAAAAACGTGTTTATGGACGACCTTTCATCTGACCTAATGCTGAAAAAAAACACCTGTCAAGCAATCAGATGTTTCCATGATGAAGCAATGCCGTGCAGACAGACAGAAGGCCGAGGCGAGCCGACCTCGGTTGCAAAATAAATACGCAAATGATAAAACTCACTAGGCATGACCTGCTAAGAGTTCAGTGCATAGCAAGGATCAGACTTGGGCCTATTCCAGTGAAGAAATCCTCTTCAAATGGATTTACTCTAGTTCTGTCACTTCCCACTGACTGATCTGACATCTATGCAAATGTTCCACATTTTAACAGCAGAAAACAACAAGGTGACCCAGGTCAAGGTTCAGTTAGAATGAAACTGTAGATCCAGCACTGAGGCTCAATCCATGCGTGAAAATGTCCGGTTTTCTAGGAATCAGTAACATGAGCCTCACTGCATGCATGTTTAAAGAGGTTTTTTTTTAAAGGAAAATGCTCTACTGCACTTGAAGATTGAAAACAATTTTTCATGACAATCTGGTGGGCCTTCACCTCAAAATTGTCTGACTGTAATTACTTTATGTTTCTGCAAATAATCTGAGCTGATATGATTTCATTTTTACAAATGATGTGAATTGGGCATCTTATCTGTTGGATTTAGGCAAAGGAATGCAAGTCAAAAAACAGAAACTATATTGGCATCAGATGAAAACAACCAAGAAAACAACTAAAAAAAGAAAGAAAACTAAGTTCTGACTGATTAGAAGGCAGCGATGAGTAATGTTTGTTTATTTGATGTTTGTCAACCACTCTAGAGAGCAGCGGTGAGTAATGTTAGGTAATTTGATGTCTTTACTCACCCCTTATGGTCTAAGGCGCTTAGTGTTTGTTTATTTGACGTTTGTTAACACATTTAGAGGAATGAGTAATACTTGTTTGTTTGAGGTTTGTTAATAACTTTATAACTCAGCAGTGAGTACAGTGTGATTATTTGAGGTTTATTAATAACATCAAGTCAAGTCATAGTTTATTTATATAGTGTGTCTTCAGCTGGAAGTATTTACAGCTATGAACCAAGAGTTAATCAAGCAGTCTGTCCACTTTAGGTTCGTACTTTAACAGTTGCACACAATGAACATAAAAAAATACATTGCTAATCACTTTTTTTAATGGCACCTAATGACCAACTAAAAGTAATCGTGACAGGCCTACTATCTTGTCTTTTTTTCAGTTTACATCAATAATTCCAAAGACTTCCAGTGGTCCTTAAGCAATGCTGGATGATGTTAATGACAGCCAGAATGTTTGTCTGTAGCATGATTTGCATTTGCCTCAAAGCCAAATCATTGAGAGATGGAAATGGGAAAAAATCTGTTTCATATATTAAAAGTGAAGGTCTTCCTGGCATGGCCTGCGCCTATTCAGATAGAAAAATTATGGAAAAAATAAGAAAAATAAGAAAAAATAAAATTCGGAAATACTTTTGAAAAAAGTTTACAAAACTGTGTGAGTAATGTTTGTTTATTTGATGTCTGTTATCACATTTAGAGGGCAGCAGTGAGTGATGTTGGTTTATTTGAGGTCTGGTAATAACACCTTTTTAAGTCAGCAGGGCATAAAGTTTGATTATTTGATGTTTGTCAATGTTTATTTGTATAGCGCTTTCCACAATAGATGTTGACACAAAGCAGTGGAATTCCTTTTTGTTTATGATCTACATCTCAATTTCATTAATTACCACTTCATTAAACCAATTAGTTTAGACACTTTACACATTATTTGTTTCAAATCCAGTCCCTGAGGAGGGTTAATATCTTCTAATATATATTCAGAGCTATGCCAATGCATTTCAGGATGGCAACACACTCGTCTCCTTTAGCACTTAACAAAAACACATGGGTGCAGTTGCATCTTTGCTGTTGTAAAATTCCTGACTGTGGCTTCACAGCAATGGCAATTCTAGCAAAATGTTTTAGGACTTTTTTAACTTCAAACTAGCCATGCTAAACAACATTCAAGGCACTTCAGTCTGTTTCAGCACACATAAAGCATGGAACAGCCCTATTCCTTTCAAGGGGGGAGAACATCACATGCTCATTCAGTTTGTCTTGTGAGTTTTGTGCACGAGTGAGTAGGTCTAAACTGAATCAGTCTTAATGGTAACAATAAAGCAGTGCGGGGTCACTGGCCTAAAAAACAGAGAAGCCTCTATGTCAACAGACTAGTGGATCATGTTCACGAGACACCAGTAAAAAGCATGCAGGCATGTTCAGTTGACTCTAATGGAAAAGCATCACAATAGCCCATTGCAAGAGAGTCTAATGAGTAAATAGAATCTGCAACGGTCCAAACAAATGGCTTGTCCTTACCAAGTGATGAACGACCTAAGCTAAGAGTTAAAACCAGGCGGTCAGTGAAAAGACTGGGGACAGCAAATCTGGTGGCTCACAGTGTATTTCACATATACAAAACATGTCACTGGTACAAAATAACTGAACTGTCCCCATCCAACCAATCATGTAATGACAAAAAAGAAAATCTACTTGCTGACTGTCTACTTTGCAAATCCTTCCAAGCTTCATGCCATGGCAAAAGTGGCACTGTTAGGCTACAAAACAGGATATGCTTCTCTTACATAAGAGACCAAAGGTGCTCTTGAAGCACTAAGGGATATTAGCACATCCAGCAAAGATGCAAAAATGTGAAAATATGAGCATTTTCGGACTCCGAGAGCCAAAAACTAAGACTAAATAACAGTAAAGCCAATCGCAGAATAGAGCCTACTTTGTTTTAGCAACATGTGTTTCTGTTTCGGTACAGGGGAGGGGCTGAACTTCAGCCTGTGAGGCAACCACTGTAAACCAC